GAGCGCGCCTTTCTGGAGCGTATTTCAGAGCGCGCGCGAGCGCCGTCCATAGCGCACGAAGCGCGCGCGCTCGCCCTGCTGTCTTTCTTTCTCTCTCTCTCTATTTCTTTAATCTTCTCTTTCCCTGTCTTTCTCTCTGCAAGGCGCGCTCTGAGCGCGCCTTTCTAGAGTGTATTTCAGAGCTTGCAAGCGCGTCGTCCATAGCACACGAGCGTGCGCGCGCGCGCTCGCCCTGCTCGCGCCCTAAGCGCGCCGTTCTGGAGCGTATTTCTGCTCTCTTTCCTTCTCTCGATCGCTCTCTCTCTCCCTCTCACTTTCTCTTTTCTTTTCTCTTCTTTTCTGTTCTTTTCTTTCCTTTCCTTTTCTTTCTTTCTGTCTCTCTCTCTCTCTCTCTGTTAAGTTGCTTGAGTTTAGTCTTTTTGCTCGCAAGAAGTGTTTTGCGCCAATGTTATTTGGAAAAAATGAAAGAAGTGTTTTGGTGTTTCCGTGGCCAAGTCTTAAAACACTTGCACAACCAATAACCATTCGACCCTTCTTCTCACCCTCAATACCCTGAAACACTACAGCCATCAGTCACAGATTCCCAAAGCGCAAGCACCAAATGCCGCTTTTTTAACAAAAAAATGCAAGCAGTCTCACTGATCCAAAGATCAGTTCTTCTTGAACAGCTTTCGCAGGTCTTCAAACAAACTTCCTACAAAGTGTTTACAAAGTTTTGGATCTTTACAAAAAATTGACAAAGTTTTGGAATTACAACTTTTTTACCGAGTTTTTGCATTACAAAGTTTTAACAAGTCTACAAAATTTAAAAATAGAAATAACAAACTTCACAAAGTTTTGGAAACTTACAGTACATTGAATTTTACAAAACTTTGGAACTACAAAGTTTTTACAAAGTATTGAACCTTTAGATATTTGAACAAAGCTTTGGACATTTATCAAGCTTTGAACAAGTTTTGGAATTTTACAAAGCTTTTACACAAGTTTTTGATGCTTACAAACTTTCTACAAAGTTTCGGATATTTTTCAATCTGTGTCAAAACTTTGTAAACTTTATTATTTGAAACTTTGCAAAACGTTGTAAACATTGTAAGAACTTTGTAAACTTTGTAAATACTTTGTAAATTTGTAAAAGCTGTGTAAGCTTTGTAGAAACTTTGGTGAAATTCAAAAGCTTTGTAAACTTTCAAATCTCTGCAACAACTGTGTAAAGATTGAAAAAACTTTGCAAACTTTGTCAAAGCTGTTGTTAAAATTGCAACATTTTTAAACACTGAAACAGTTTAAACTTCGTAAACGATTGTAAAAACTTTGTAAACTTTGTTAAAATTGTAACATTTTTAAACACTGAAACAGTTTAAACTTCGTAAACCTTTGTAAAAACTTTGTAAACTTTGTAAAACTGTGAAAAAACTGTGAAAACTTTGTGTAAAAATTGTAAAATGCAAAAACTTTGTCAAAACTTTGTGAACTTTGTCAAAATGTTTGTAAACATTGCAAACTTTGTACACTTTGTACTAACATTTTGTAAACTTTGTAAACAACTTTTAGATGTTGTAGGCCTTCGTAAACTCTATTTAAAAAAGACGTTATAGACTTCGTAACACTTTGCAAACTTTGTAAAACGTTTTTAAACTTCGTAAACTTTGTCAAAACATTGTAAACATTTTGAAAGACCTTGTGAACGTTGTGAAAACTTTGTAAACTTTGAAACACTTTGTGAATTTCCTAAAAACTTTGTACAAATTGTGAAACTGTACAAGATTTGAAAAACTTTGTAAAATGTAGAGAGAAACTTTGTAAACTTTGCAAATAGATAAACTATCAAAACTTTGTAATCGTTGTCAAAACTTTGTAAACTTTGTCGAAACTCTGTAAACTTTGCAAGACTTCGTAAACTTGGCAAAATCTTTGTAAACTTTCCAAAAACTTTGTAAACTTTGTAAAAAATTTGTAAATTTGTGTAACAAAAGGCAAATGTCGCAAACTTTGTCAGAACGTTGTAAACTTTGTAAAAACTTTGTAAACTTTGTAAAAACTTTGTAAACTTTGTATATTTTGTAAAAACTTTGTAAACTTTGTAAAACTTTGTAACCTTTGTAAAAACTTTGCAAACTTGAAAAACTTTTGTAAACTTTGTAAAAACTTTGTAAAAACCTTGTAAACCGTGTAAAAACTTTGTAAACTTGAAAAACGTGTAAACTTTGGAAAAACTTTGTAAACTTGAAAAAGCTGTTGTAAACTTTGTAAAACGTTGTACAACTTTGTAAACTTTGTAAAAACTTTTAAAACTTTGTAAACACTTTGTGAGACTTTGTAGACTCTGTAAAAATTGAAAAACTGTGTAAATTCCGAACTTTGCAAGAACTTTGTCAAATTCCAAAGCTTTGTAAAAACGTTGTAAACTTTCAATACTGTGCAAAAACTGTGTAAACTGTATAAACTTTGCAAATTCAAATGTTGTGAAAGCTTTGTAAACTATGTAAATACTGTGTAAAGTTTGCAAATGTTTGTACACTTTGTAAAAACTCCATGTAAAAATTGTAAAATGTGCAATCTTTGTAAAACGATTTATAAACTTTGTTCAAGCTTTGTAAACTTTCAATACTTTGCAAAACTGTGTAAACTTTGTAAAGAATGTCAACATTGCAGCAACATTGTAAATCAATACGTCTTTAATTGATTTTTTAATGGTAAAACCTTTGTAAACTGGGTAAACTTTGGAAATTGTTCCAAACTTTGTAAACTGTGTTAAAATATTGTAAACTTTGTAAAACTTTGTAAACTTGGTAAACGGTTGTAAAACTTTGAAAACTTCATAACATCTGTGTAAAACTTTGTAAACTTTGTACCAACTTGGAAAGCTTTGTAAAAACGTAGTGAACTTGGTATAAACTTGGTAAACTTTGTCAACACTTTGTAGACTTTGTAAAACATTTTTAAACTTTGTCTAACTTTGTAAGCTTTGTCAACCTTTAAACTTGTAAAACTTTGTAAGAACTTGATAAAACTTTATTAAGACGTTGTAAAATTCGCAAACTTTGTAAAAAGGTTTACAAACCTTTTACGAAGTTTTGGAGTTCTTCAAATTGTTCTTCAAAGTTAGAGCAACGTTTTACACAGTTTTGAGAACGTTTACAAAGTTTTATTTTTGTACAAAGTTCTACAAAGTTTATAAAACTTTCACAAAGTCTTAAGAATTTGTACAAAGTTTGCAACTTTTGCAACGAGTTGACAGAGTTGTTGAATTACAAACAAATTTACAAAGGTTTACAACGTCTACAAAGCTTTTACCATGGCCGTTCACTCACCACTCACGAGACAAACAAACCTATGAAATAGTCCTTTGGGTCTCGTATGTTGCCACTAACAACGCAAAAAACACGACGTGTTTTATACCCTCTCTTAGTTCTGAACAACCAATTCTTCAGAGGTCCGCAAGGGTCAAAAACACTTCTTCTGCGCTAATTCCCCCAAAACAACGAACGACGGTCCCCAAGCAACTTAACATCTCTCTCTCTTTCTTTTCTTTTTTCGTATATTTTCTTTTCTTTTCTCCTTTTCTTTTCTCCTTTTCTTTTCTCCTTTTGTTTTCTCTTCTTTACTTTTCTTTTCTGTCCTGTCCTTTCCTTTCCTTTCCTGTTTTTCTTTCTTTCTTTCGTTCTTTCTTTCTTTTCTTTTCTTTTCTTTTCTTTTCTTTTCTTTCTTTCTTTCTTTCTTTCTTTCTCTCTCCCTCTCTCTCTCTCTCTTCAAGTTTATCTTTCTCTGTCTTTCTCTCTGTAGGGCGCGCTCTGAGCGCGCCTTTCTGGAGCGCACGTCAGAGCGTGCGCCACAGAGCCCAGCCACACAGAGCCCAGCCACAGAGTTGACAGAGTTCAGGGGCGCAGCCAAGAGAAGGACAACACAAGGGCAAGGCCTGGAGTGCGGCGTGGCCAAGACGAGGCCAAGGCCCAGTCACAGAGCCCAGAGGAGGACAAGGCCCAGACAGAGCCCAGCCACAGGGGCGTGGCCAAGAGGAGGACAAGGCCACAGAGTTGACAAAGTTCAGGGGCGCGGCCAAGAAGAGGACAAGAGGAGGCCAGCCACAGAGCCCAGCCACAGAGTTAACAGAGTTCAGGGGCGCGGCCAAGAGGAGGACAAGAGGAGGACAAGGCCCAGCCACGGAGCCCAGCCACAGAGTTGACAGAGTTCAGGGGCACGGCCAAGAGGAGGACAAGGCCCAGCCACGGAGCCCAGCCACAGAGTTGACAGAGTTCAGGGGTGTGGCCAAGAGGATGACAAAAGGAGGACAAGGCCCAGCCACGGAGCCCAGCCACAGAGTTGACAGAGTTCAGGGGTGCGGCCAAGAGGAGGACAAAAGGAGGACAAGGCCCAGCCACAGAGTTCAGGGGCGCGGCCAGTGAGTGTGGCCAGCTCTTTTCTTTCTAAGATAGAACCCCAACAGTAAACTGTTTGAGGAAAAACACACAAATGAGCAATGAGCACATACGATGATGAATCTTCCGCCCAAGTACGCTATCAAGAATTGTAGGTTGTTAGTTAGTTGTTAATTGATTCTTTTGCATTGATGTCTGTTCTCTCTCTCTCTCTCAATTCGAAATCATCTGGTGGAATTCCTTTATTACATCCTTTGTCAAAAAGCTATTTATTGAGAAGTGCCAAACATCTACCCTTCCTGGGACACTACTTGAAGCGAAGGGTTCTTGACCTGGTGTCTGAGAATCCTCCTCAAATACTATCCTCCTGTGGTCTTGTTTCCAGAAAGATTCTCAACAATCAAGCGCCTTTAATCTCCCTTCATGAATGCTCGACTCCCTCTTGTGGTTGCTTGCCAATTCCAGTGTTGACATCATTCTGAAGCATTTGAGAGGGAAGGGGTCCGCTGTTGTTTATTTATCAAAGGTGGTCGTTCAATAAGTGGCGGTTTGTGTGGGCGGCCGTGTATCGTGGGATGCCTGTCATGTTCTGTTCTGTCAATGTTCCGTGCCGTGTCGAGGTACCGCGATCAACTGAAAGATCCTGGACTGGGAGCTTCTGGACAGGGCCCGAAGCCGCTGCCTGCGAGGTTCCAACGGCAAATGGTGAGGAGACGAGGAGAAAACGCCCGTCCCACGTATCAAAGCATGGTGGGTTCGTCTACTCCATGTCATCTAGGTGTTTGTCATGCGAGCTGCAGCTCTGCGTGCAAGCGACGGTAGGTGACTAGTTGAACCAATGCTGGGGTATGTTCACATCGTTCTAACTTACCTTAACCTGTCACTCAGTCAATGATCGCACATTGAATGTGGACCTGAAGGTTAGGAACCGGCTCTCTTCATTGTCGATGGATTGAATAATTTCACTAAACGGGTTCCGTTTTTGACCTTGGACCTGAACTACATACCTTCCAGGTTCGGCAGCATTCGACCGTGCAGCATGCATGACGAATCGACGTGTCGCAAGGCAACAAGTGTGAAACACACGTAAACAGGAGGAAAAAGGAGAGGCTTCCAAAACATAAATATTTGGAGGGCTTTATTGCTTACATACGGTATGGCAGTAAACTCCCCATCTCCCAAGCTAAAATGGTAAGTGCCTGGCAGAGGAAAATCACTTTGCAGACGTGGTTGGGTCTCCAAAAGGGTAGCAAGCTTTCATACATTCTAAGGCCAAGTTCCCCAAACAGGCGCCTCCTTTTGCAAGAATTCTTTGAGCTCTTCAAAGCTGATGAAGCCATCTTGCGAGCGATCAATTTCCTGGGGGGGGGAACACTTCCAAACCTCTGACGTGATGCAAATGGAGGTTGGGACAAGCATTAGCAAAGCCTGGTGTTGGCCAAAACAACCGGTCTCTTCTTGATGACCTACCTACCCTTCCATTTATAGCTATAACAGGTCAAGTAAAGCCTACAGTCCTACAGATTATATATATAATCGAAAGCTCATCAACTCCTCTATTAGTGGGCCTAATTGAGATCCAACAAGATTGAGCTGCTGACCTCCCCTTGCAGACTCCCCCTCACAAACGCAGCCCGTGTTGGAAGAATGAAAATGAGTTCCTGCTGTGTTTGTTGCAGCTGCGGGGTTGCCATTCTGAGCTACAAGTACAGGTGTGTTGCTCATGTTGCAAACAGCAAGCATTGATGAAGATGATGCGGCTCACCTCTGGAATGCCAGCCAAGAGTCTTTCATGAATTCTTCAACGGTTTTCCCTTCAGGAAGAACAATGGACAGGGAGCCATCTGTTTTCAGGATGGATGACAGCTCTTTCAGAGATATCTTTCCATCCCCGTTCACGTCGAAGACATGGAAGACGTGGGACAAAGCACTCTCGATCAGATCGGTATGGGCATCCAAACATCCAGCAATAAATTCAGAATAGTCTGCCTCGCAAAAGCCACTCAAGCCACTGGCTGCTCGATCAACAAGTACGACACCAATTTTGAGCAATTCCACCAGTAATTAATATATATACCTCCAAAGAATGATATGACGCCCCAGGTCACCACTCTGAGTTCCCAAATCCTGCACCATCCGATTTTCTCTGGGCCAAGTGGATTCGCCATAGATGAAACACGAAACATTTTTTTCAAGAAGACTCCTTCTGACTCCTTCCACGAAAAAAACGAATGGCCACTGAAAGGCGATCGGCCATCGGAAAAATTGCATGTCCGACCATAACACCTTTCAGAACGACTCAAAATCTTTGGAATGCCTTGACACTGGGAAAGCTGGCAGCTTGTTGTCCGGACTCCTACAGAGTTGATTGGGCATCATCAACGCATCTATATGCATCTATGACTCTATCTATGATGGTGCAAGATTTTGTCCATCGGAGCATGAGGTATCTTTCAACTGCATTTCGGCAATACCTGCGAACCACTAATCGTCTGCCCAAGAATGCAAGGGGAATGATTGATGAGATTTCGGAGTCTTTGCCAGCACACTTTCCAGAATCCTTGTGTTCTTACCTGCTACCAGATCCATCATATCCGGAGCAATTCCCTTCCAATTTAGATTGTCGCATCCATGGCACGCTTCCACTGTGATCCATATCAAGGGCGTCCACAAGCGCTTCGATGGAATCAGGATCCAACACTTGCCTCAAAAGAAACATGATTAAGAAGTCAATTCCTTTAAAAATCTTTAAAAGGGCCTTTCCTGCCTTCTCCTGGTCTCTTTTGCACAAGGAGGCCCAAGGAGAAAAACATCAAACTAAACGCACTGATTTTGGTGGTTTTGCTTTCTTATGATGCCTCTGAAACCAGGCTATGGATTTGGGCATGTTTGGGCTCATGGTGATGGAACATGTGGCAGCGTACCACGCATCTTGCATTGGCAACCTGGCCTGAGCCCTTCCTTGAACTCCTGCATTGACAGCTTGCCGTTTCCTCAGGCAAATCAGCTCATGAAGTGGTTGGAGAGAACAAATTGTCGCCAATACTAATCTACCTACCTATATATTGTTTTAATTCTTTATATACACCTATTTATATATATATATTCACCTACTTTTATATATACGCATATATAATATAGTTATGTCATAAACTTATAGGCACTTGATTGCCAGCAGCCTTCAACAGGCTCGATTTATGTCGTGAAGCAGATCCAAAAAGACATTGCCCTGTCTAGCTCGTGGGATCGGCTGCAGAGCTGATAAATGCTATGTTGGACCATCCTTATGTTCAAGGGTCCTCCATTTCCGGTACATGAAACTTGCAACGGCCAAGGTCAAAAGGAAGTAAAGAACGAAATCTCGCAATGGTGGACCCCTCGCAAACCCAATGACAGTCATAGGCGGCCACATGATCAGGAGCCCCCTCTGCCGACATGACGATCGTCACCCTGTGGGGATCAGATCGACGTCCCTTTTCGACTGGTGGCGATCGACATCCAGCTTCTTGAAGAGGTCGTTGAGTCCGTCCAAGCTGGAGGTATCCATCTGACTGGCTGCGCACAAGTACACTGCCTCCCAGAAGTGGTCTCACATCTGGAATGTCCGTGCTGAGCACCCGAAGACGAAAGACGGGTTCCGGTCAAGGGTTGATGCGGGGTGCAGCGGCATATGGAGCCTCAAAGTTATGTGATATGAAGGGAGAAGGGGACAGTCGAAATGCACGGAACTACCTCGGCACGCACTAGTCCACATGTCATATGTGATTGGACGGTTTGCGACGTGAATTCATGTGATATCGCCCCAGTATTGACTGTACCTTCCTTGTGGGTTGCTCCGTCCTTCTTACACAAGAACTCCATCCCCCTTTTGGAGCGCCAACACGACCAGCGACCCGTTGGTCGGCCTTGGAAAAGGTACTCTTCTTGCTGAAGCCGATGAGCGAGGTGACGTTGCCATCTGGCCCAGTCACTTCTGGCCAGTTCATTTCCTTTTGGGCCTGGGCCCAATATCAGAAGGACAACTTATCATATGGGTGTAAGACAAAGTAAGACAAAGGGAGGCAGGCCCTCAACCAATCGTTTTTTGCATATGTGTGTGTGTATCTCTTCTTCTTCCAGGGGTCTTTGGGAGCGGCCTTCTAAACATCAACAGTTGTAATTTGGGGGGTTCTGTTTGCAAACTACAATGGAACTGGCAGGTGGAGCCAGCCTGCAGCAAACCTCCAGAGCCCAGACATGCTTGGCATCCAATGCAGCTGCGCTTCGCACAGGCTATCACAGGCTAAAAGGAGCAAATGGGATAACAAAACAAAGTGGACCAGGGAGATGTGATCAGGAAAGCACGCCAAAAAGCAAAGAATCTAGTCTTAGAATCTTGAATCGGAAAATTTGGGGGAATATGCAGGCGTCCTATTCCACTACAGATTTGCTAAAACAATGCTAAAACAAAGCAAACTCGGGTCGCTGAGACATGCTGAAACTGTTTTTCCCAACTTTCATGCCACAGTCAAGAGCGATGTCAGGAGCAAAGAAACTTTGTTATCTGCAGCATGGTCCGGTTGGATGAAGATGGGCAAATGCCTATTTGTCAGGGGTCCTATCACATCTAACATAATATTTCCCAAGGGTCCTATTTCCCAGGGGTCCTATTTCCGGTAATATAATATAATTCAGGGAGAGGAAGGTTGGATCAGTCGTTCAAAGGCAGTTCCAAGACTGGTACGTCTCGCATGTTTTTCCATTGAGGTGTCTTGTTCTGATCTCAACTCCCTCATTCAGTTTTACAGTCTTCGGACAAAGGAAGAGGAGAAGAAGAGGCAGACCACAGAGAAAGACGAAAACACCTAAGACCGCAGCTCTCCACTCTACACCTTTTGCTCGGTAGCATCATCCACTGTTCTTTCCGACCCCTGTCATCAGCCTCATCGGAGGAGGGGCGCCAGGCTTCCTGCTTCTCCAACAGCCAGGAGATGAACTTCACTGCTGCCTGCCACTCGCCAAGCACCAGCGCTTCGGCACATGTAAACCCAGACTTGAGACAGCTGACATCCATGGTCCACTTTCTTGGGGCCCATCTGATCAGGTGGGGTCGGGACATATGGCACCACCTTGATATATATATATATATTGAGAGAGAGAGAGATATTTATATATATATACATACTCTTGTCAGCATCCTTTTCTAGTTCGCTCTGCAGCAAGTTTGTCAAAATAATAGTAAACAATTGAGAAAAATCTTACGAAAAAAGACCGGGTTGGTTACCCCCCCCCTCTTTGGTCCACTACACAAAGAAGGGGACGTTCCCGGGTAACCTTCTGACGCCAGGGTATCGGCGGCCAGTCCACGCCCTTCCCCGGATCGCCACAAATGTTCTATGTATTCCTTCACAAGGGGATCTAAAAAACCGCGGCGGGTTGGTAAAGCTAAACCTTCCTCTTTGAGAAAGGAAAGAAAACGATTCAAAGCTTTATCGTAACAGGCACGGGTTGCCGGCTGCACCGTGAGACCACGCAAACTACCTAACCTTTGCCTTTCTCTCGCTCTGATGGCTTGAGTGCTACCCTCAAGGACGACCTTTGGCATGCCTAAACTTCGTCTTCACTGACCACCGCCACGGCTTATCCGCCGGGTTGAGGTCAGTGTGCACATATCCCCGCAGTGCACCCATATTGTGGGCCAACAGAAGCGAGTCGATTCGGCAAAGGGTTCGTCGTAAACGTCTCGAGGAAGTTCGTCCGCGTGTCAGGCTGTGTAGGCAAACAAGGGAGTCTGTAAGGTGTAAAATTCGGCACGCGTGCTCGTTCATGTGTTCACACCGCCATCGAAGACAAGCCAAAATAGCTCTTAGCTCCAATGAATTGATATGTTCCCCTTGACTGCGCCACTTCCAACCTGAGATCACCTTCCAGCGCCACATCTGGGCATTAATGGTGCGCCGTAACCGCTGATAGCTTTGAATCTCATCTTGAGCTGCGGTAAGCATCAGATCGGAGCCCTTGGTGGACACAAGCCGTCCCAATTGGTTCACCAATGCCCCTTCTGAGACCTGACTAGGCTTCCGATCTGGCCGAAGTGGGGGCCTCATCAGCCGAGATTGAATGAACGGGTTGCCCTTCAAGGTAAGATGCGAGTCCAGCCCCCCGAGGTCCAACCAATTGTCCAATAAGCCAGCTCACCACTGGCACTGCCCATGCGTTGCCCACCAACGTCAGCCGCTTGTCGTTGTAATCCATCATTTTCCTCTGTGACTTGGGCAGGCGCATTTTTGTGTACCCTACGGGAGTCCCATCATAAACTCTCTTTCACTGATGCTCGGAAGTCTGTAGTCACCACGATTGTTGACCAGGCAGTTTCGTGGGATGTACTGATAAGGCGGAAACCTATGCTGATCTTGTTCCCATCGGACGATGGTGGCTTTGTCACAGGCATCCAAGCCCGCAGGGCGGTGCCCCCGTGCTGAACGTGGGTGAAGGTAGGGCAAGGTCTGTCAGCGTCCACCTTCGTCCATCCGGCCTCCACTGAGGATGTCCAGGGCTGGCGCCCCGTGACAATCACGCGCCCGTCATCCACCTGCACGTCTTCATCATCGAAGTTAAGTTCCCATGTGATCCAATATACAGCCTTGGACGGCTGCGCCAACATAGAGTACCTGCATCGATTTGCCAGGGTTTATCCCTGAAAGAGGCGGACATGATCTCCTTGTCGCGATCGTCCATGGATGCCACACTCTCCATCAAGCAATGGGTTTGCGCCCACGGGAATTGCTGCTGGATCATAGCTCGCAACCGCTTGACGTGGATGAACAGGGATGAACGTTCACCCCGCAACGCCCCTTTCCGCTGACTGTTCAGGCCGGATACCCCTTGGCAGGGTGGCCCCGCCCCGATGAGGATCAGGGACGCCTGTCCGTACCGCAGCGCCCACTTCTGTACATCGCCTTCCTTGACCTCCGCGGCGTCTTTGTATAGTGCCAACTGTCCGGAAAATGATGCTCGACTACTCGGCGTGCCGCCACGTCCTGCTCAACGCAGATGTGCTCTATCGCGTCACATCCCAACAAGTCCAGAGCAACCCGAAGGCAGCCTATACCGTCGAACAGGCCGATGCTCAAGATCCGTTGTCCACCACTTGACACCATGTCTCAGCATTCTTCTCCCAGGGCCACCTTTTCCCCGTACGTCGTAAGGCTTGTAGCTACACACACACACACCCTCCTTGCTGGGAGGCGTCACTACATGTGACCTTTGGCTTCAAGGCCAGACGAAAGTCCATCCGGCACAAGGGAACCAGGCATAGGAATCGAATGATCTCTAGTTTCACCCCCCCTGGGATGACCTGTTTGTGGCGTCCGCAGGAGTTGAAAGATTCAATGAACGTCCAGCAGAGGTTCAGGCCTCCAAGCAATTGCCGTCTGAAAGTGGAGAAATAGACGAGTCCTCCACAAACCACTTGCGTCTGCCTTTGTGAGCAATACGTCTCGCTCAACAACCGGTAGGCGATGGTAATGTACTTGGAGAGCTTTTGGCCCTTAGGGTACGCGATGCCCTGCTGACCGTCCAATACTGCTCCCTGCGCCTCCGCGATGACCTTCCGGCTTACAGCCTTCTCTGGGTGGCGAGGGAGCCCCCAGGATGAATACTCACGCTGCAAGGCCTTCACCTCCGGGGCTTCCTCCTCAGCGACTCTTCCTAGTACCTTGTGGAGTATTTCTCTAGCAGATCATAGTTGTCGAGATAGACTCGCCAGACTGCTTTGCCCTCCGGTAGTATTCTATCCTTGCGGGGACTCTTGTGTGCGAATGCTACGCTCCTGATTGTGGTCTTGCGATCGTAGTACCAAGACTCTGTGAACGTGTTGCGCAATTCCTACACTGTTCAAAAGGCCCATAGGCAATACCTTCGAACACAATGAGCGCCCCCCTAGATACACTACTTATATCTTAAGTTATTCTGCTTAAAAAAGTCTTAACTAAGTTAAAAACAAGTTATGATAGCATTGCCTTAGGCTATTTACAAGTTAGTTATAACTAAGTTATTAAGTTCCATAACTTCAAAAAAGTGCAACATCTAATTTTCTAGCAGGCTCATACAAACAAACCCAAAAGAGCTACCACGTGTACCACCACCAACAAGGAACAAACAACAGAGAAGAATGTGGGTGGACCGCCACCCACAAAACATCAACAGACGTTGAACCAACAGACATCTCTGCAACGTTCCACTCCAGCAAAGGTTTTTCTCACAGAAGACAAAGCACTTGCTCACCCTGCACGCTCCACCAAGAAGTATGCCAAGAAGGTTGCCACAACCGACACTGTTTGTCGATATGAATGGCGTTGGTTTCCCGCGTCTTCGTAAAGACACGGCTATTTGGCACCAAGGGTGAAGTTTCCTGCAACTTCTCTGCAAGGATATAAAAATCACCACCGCTTTCCACAAACAAAATGCACCCAATACGCAAGGTCAGGGCCCATGAACAGCACGTCATGCTGGGCTAAGCTGGCTCAGTGACGGAAACAGCTGGCTGACTGTTAGTTGAAAGAGCTGCAGGTATGTAGCAGGGAACAACTGACTGTCCTGTCCTCAACTTCAGCAATTCAATCAACTATATATCTATGAACCAATGATTCACACCCGGTAAACAGCTGACATAAGTTAGTCGCAGTCACACTTGAAACAGCTGACGGAAGTTGACCTTTAGACTGACTGTTCCAGCTTGACTCTGCAATTGCCTTTGATCAGCTCTTGAGGTCATGGCAACACCCCAGAGCATTGTAGATTGTGACCTCCAGTGACTCATTTATGTAACTTATCTAGATCTTATTTATGTAACTGTTCTGATGCTGACTGGAAACCTGAGGCAAAGCTTTTGAGTCAGCCGCAGAAGTAGGACCAGATGACAAAGGCCCACTCGACCTGGGCATTGTCATCAGCGCCGCAACCCAAAAAGTGTTGAACTGAACTGTTCCATAAACACAACAGAAAACACTCTTTTGATTCACATGGACAGTGAAGACGCAACTGAGACTATTCTTGCCTGACAGGTTAGACAACACACACACTTTAATTCCAAACACATTCCTACACCACTGCTCCCACAGCTGATGAATCAATGCTGCCACCTGCGCAAAGCACCAGACAGACAGGCTCCTCCTGGCTTCCACGTCCAAAGTCCTTCGCAAAGGTCAACCGCAGATTAATTGTCATCAATTAAGCACAATCACACCAAGGCCCATGCACTCGTGCAACAAAGACTGCCAGACTGTTTTTGAAGCCCTGGTTGCATCTGTGTCGGCTAGTCGACCATCATGGCAATACGAATGCCAAGCTCACATTGCCTTGGCATTGGAACTGCAACTGCGAATGAAACCAACGCCAGAGACAGCATTCAGTCAGAAGCCCGTTGGGTTTACAGTACAGGAAAGCTCAGTCAGCAACTCACACCTCCTCGTCCTCCTCCTTCTGCAAGCCCTCAATGACACCAAAGGAGGCATTGCGTCGTACCTGAACGATGTGCAATAAATACAAGCTAGGTTCCCTACTATGAAGTACACTGATGCAATCTTACTCATTAGGACTCCACCACACCTGCCTTGCAAGGCTTCAAAACAACACCAGAGACGCAGAAGTGCAAGATTCCATTGCCTAAACAGAATCCCACTGACAGTGACACATCAGGGAAACGCTGCAAATAGGATCATCTAGTGAACTTACAAACTTAACGAAGCTACGCACCATGTACAGATCATGGCCATCACCATATGGCACCCCAGCATAGTTCTTCCCAGCAATGGGAACACGGACTTCGATCTTACATTCCTGCAGAGCAAGCAGAGCAAGATACAATTGACAATTGATTAGGCCCTTCACACTCACTGAATGGTTCACCACAACTTTCCATGACATTGGCGATCCTTGAAGTACCTTCCCCTGTTTCTGGCCTTATTGAGAAACTCTTTCGCCTGGTGTTTGGTCATGCCTTGCGCC